AGTGATTTTTAATACAAACCATATTACATGCATTTCAAAGAGAATTATAAAAACACTAGTGTGTGTGAGTGCAAGTGTGTCTATGTGTTTGGGGGGGGGTGTTTATGTGTATTACAATATTTTTTAAACCAGAATACTGAAAAAACACTTCCTTGAAAGAAAGTTCTTTGTTCATATAATCAAGGAAACATCAACTACCTAACCAGCTCTTGGAGATTCACAGTACACATTAACACATTAAAAGATCTGAGTATATTCAGCCATAAGAAAGGATGAAATACTGCCATTCACAGCAACATAGATGGATCTTTAGAGTATCATGCTAAGTGAAATAAGTCAGATGGAAAAGGACAAGAACCATATGATTTCACTCATTTGTGGGATATAAAACAGAAAGCAGCAAACAGACAAACAAAATGAAAGAAACTCATAGACAACAGGGGAAGGGGACTGGGGAGGATGAAGACGGTAAAGGGGTCAAATATATGGTGATAAAGGAGACAGACTAGAGTTTGGGTGGTGACCATACAATGCAGTATATATAGATGATGTATTATAGAATTGAAACTTACGTTGTTAACAAATGTCGCCCCGATAAATTTGATTTAAAAAAGGATATGAGTATTTAACCCAGTGTTTCCCAAACTTATCTGACTATAGAACTCTTTTATTTTTTTGCCAATATCACAAGACACTAATTGTAAGAAATGCTGTTTATTGAGCAGTAAAGAAAAAGTTTGAAAGAATAAGATATTTTACTGTGTTTTAAAATTCCTTTCTGACTTTTCATTCCAACTAATCACACACCAGATTGGTAAATTTTTTGTTGCAGTGCTCACTTTGAATTCTTTATCTGAATTTGAACTCAGGATGTCTAGAAGAGAGAGCAATGGGAAATATGGGGAAAGTCATTAAAATAAACATTGTGCCTGCTCTCTCACATACACAAACATAGTTCAATTTTTAAAAATTCAATCATTTAATCTCACCATTTTTAAAGATAAAAATTTTCAAAACACTTAAAATTTTGTGATATCTCTTTGGTATCTATTTTCAGTTGAAGAAAAAATTTTTTCACTTCTACCACTCGCCCTACTTTGCTTTATTAGTAATTATTTTAGTCATTTGCCATCAGTCCTCTAGTGATTTTGGGTTTTTTTTTTCCCCTCTAGTGCCTAACATAAGTTAACAATTACCAAGTACATATAAATCTTGTAGAGATTGAATGTTTAAAAAAAAAATCCCCCAAAACTTTAGACCTATAATCTTCACACTTTTAGCCTCTCCTTTGTCTCTGTGAATCATTGATAGGCAACTTACCTGCTGTAGGCTTTTCCAGTTATTTATAACGATTGCCTCTTACTGTTGTTAGAAGTACTAATCTCTTTTCCTCTTAAATATTTGACCTATCCAGTGTACCTTCAGTTACTTATAGTGACCTTGGAGGTGGGACAAATGTATAACAACAGGACTGAGAAGATGTCTGGGGAGGTTGGGGAAGGCAGACTGTCCATTTGTGGATGTTTCTCAAGACAAATGAAAGAAGCAGCTAGAAGGGCTGCATGTGTGGCCAGGAGGGTCAGAGTGGACTCGAGGACGGTAAGCTGCTGTGTAGCGCAGTGTGAATTCCTGTCAGGAATCTCAGTACTCTTAGGTGAAGCCAGGCTAAAGTAGATTAATTTCTTCAAGCTCTCAAAGAGAAACATAGCTAGAGAAAATGGGAAATGAGACTGAGATGACCAGAGGGAGTTAGGTTGGGAATTCATCTATATGATACATGTCCTGAATTCTTAACAAATGGTGGAATTGGGGGTTTGAGCCAAGTTTACCTAGGGACCCACAGCACAATGGATCCCCCCATGATATCTGTGTTACAGGTGATTTAAGCTTGATCAGTTTATAAAATAAAAAGAAGTAGATTCAGACCATAGCTTTGCTTCTGACATGAAATGACAAAAGCTATGAAGACGTTTGAGTAATTTTGCTAAAAGCAAACACTGGATTCTTGGATAAGGTATTTTAGCAGTAGGTTGGAATAAACTTAAGCAGCTCTTCATCTTCATACGAATGAATGGGAAAGTGCTAATTACCCATGTTTGTTTAAAAAAATGTTTAGTAGGTAGGAGAGTGTCGGAAAGAAAAACATTTGAAATACTGCATCAGTTACATTTGTGCCAGCAGTTAACATAAGTGCAAAAATACAATTTATTCAGAATACTTGGCTTCACTTTTAGTTATGTTAACCATCCTTTTAGTATTTGGATCATCCTGCTGACAATGAGATTAAAAAACAGGCAGCTGGTGTTAAAGCCCTGTGTAAATGGAGGATGAGTTTATACTTGTTATTTGCACATGGCAGAAGTAATTAGGAGGACTGTGAAAGCCTCTTTTGTTCCTTTAATATATTTGTACCCAAGGAAACTTGAGAAAACCCAGTTCTGGTCGGACCTTAAATATCTTTTATCTTTTCAGTAAGTGATGGCAGTTTAAAAAAAAAATGTGTTAAAAATTAGATATCCTGTGATTAGGTCTCTATCTGAAAAACGAAAGAATACAAATGTTTATGTGGAGAATGAAGTGAAAATCAGTCCACGAAAAGTTTAAGATTTATTTTTAGATTGAATGATTTTTTGTTTCTCTTTCACTTTTGGAAATCTTAATTACATGTAATTAACATTTTAAAAAATGTGATTTAGGTATGTAAATTATACCTTATTTTGTGGGTGCTCTTGCTAAAATGTGAAAGTGCCTGTGTCATAGAGCAGTCATCACCAGTCACCATTTCTTGTCAGTGGTCATGCCCAGTAGGTCCTGCCATACTTGGCGCTTTAGTTGCTGAGAGGCACAGGGAGATGAGGGTGCATATGCTGAGGAAGGTGGTAGTGGGGAAGGGAGGCGGGGGACAGCCTCTCTGTACTTACTTTATGTTAATCATTTATCCTAATAACAATGCAATCACAAGTAAAATTATTTTGAAATAAATGACCCGTACATTATGTTTTTGGATAATTCAGTGACCTTAAAAATACCCACCTGTTTATATTAGAAACTCTGAATAGTAGTTATATTTGGGGAGGGGAATTGGGGACAGTGCTGGGAGGGAGATATAGTTATCATTGTGGATATACTTTGGTAACTTTCCGAGTTCGTACTGTGTGTGTGTGTGTGTGTGTGTGTGTGTGTGTGTGTGTGTGTGTGTGTGTGTACTGTATATTAAAGAAACGTAAAAGAAGAAAATTTCCCTTTAAGCATTCCCATCTCCTGACGGGAAGCTTGGTTTCCCACCCTGCCCCCAAGGATCTTCTGTGATTTCCTCTGCACACCCTTTCCCACCCCTCCCCCAAAGCTTCTTTTACTTTCTAGGAAAGCACTCTCTGAATTCACTGACTTTTCTTCCTCGTCTCTAATTTTCTAATCTCGATTCCTTTCACGAAAGTCACTTAAGATTTCTTACCGTGAAATGCAGTAACCTCCTTTGAAACCCTGTTTGACCTTTCTGGGTCACTTGAGATTTGGACTCTCCTCCCAGCCTCCCTGACACCATTGCCTCCTGGTCCGTGTTGAACTCTCTCCTTCCACTTTCACGAGCCTCTCTGCTATAATTTCACCTTTATCCACTCTGTGCTCTCTTCCTGAGCGGTCCTTTTTACATCCTTGGTGACATTATCTGTGTCAGCAGGTATGACCTTTCCCCTTAGCTCTACACCTGCATATTTATTGGCCTACTAGGCGTGGTTAGTTCTCAATTCCGTGGGCATCTCAAAATCAAAATAGCCTGAACTTATTGTCCATTCTCTCATCATCCAAAGTCTCCTTTTTCCCCACTTGCTCTATTTCAGTACTCTAGCAGCACCCAAGCTGAAACCCGGGCATTGCCCTAAATTTTTTTGCCACCTCACAGGGTTTTGGAATGACAGGTTGCCTTGTTGTAATATGAATATATTGGCTCTGTTTTTATCACACTCTTTTATTTTTACAAATAAACTTCTAAACTGGGCAGCCTCATTCCAGATGGACATAGGAGAAATTTCAATTTTATAAATGTTCTGTCCTTGTTAAAAGTAGCAGGGTGCAGGGTGTGTGTGTGTGGGGGGGGATCATTTTAATTATTCCTCTGCATTGACAATTTTGTGTTTATGAATCCATAGAAACCTCATTCCAGAGGCATTTCTGAATTTGAGACATAAGCTTGATTTTTATTTGAAACTAAATTAGCAATTATATAACTGAACGGAGTGTGTAGTTTATTATTTTAGTATTTATGTTGTATTTTTATTGATTTCCTCTTCAGTCAGTTGAAAAAAATAGTATCTTCTGCATAGTTAGAATTACCTCTCATATTGCTTTTGTTTTTTATGTATTAAATACAGTTAATTAAGTAACCACTGGATTAAAATTATAGTTAAAATTTATTGTATACGTATTATATGACATTTTACATCTGTCGTATCATTTAATTTAATTCACCCAATAACAATGCAGAAAGGAGAAATTCAGAATCAAACATTTAACTTGCTCAGATTACGCTGCCGTGATCATTCCTCCCTGTGACCCTCTTGAGATTCTTTAGACATCAGTTTAAGTGTAGTCTGGACATCCCTGAAAGTAATATAGTTAAGAACTGAATTTATGGGTGCCTCCTTTTTACTGGCATTGATGTGTATAGTGTTTTTCCTGATTTGGTGCCCATTTATGACCAAAGAGTTTGTGGTACCTTAGTGCCAACACCCTGATTATTCAAGGTCATGGGGTGATGTAGAAGTAAGTGGTAAAGGTCAACGGCACCAAGATTTACCTAGAACTTATGTTTTGTAATTTTAATTAATTGAAGGTTTTAAGACAAACCTCTAAAAACAGTTACACAGAGATAATTAATCTCTGTTTTATGTGTTAACAGTAATTTGTCTGTTTACTTGGATTTTTGGTACCTAGAGGGTGGCTGACATCTAAAGAATGTTATGGTCAGTAATTCATGTTCTCTCTCTTTTTTTCTCTCTCAGTGCAATGAAACCTCATTCTTTTTTGAAGCTCGAAGTAAGACTGCTTGCAAGCATCTTTGGAAGTGTAGTGTAGAACATCATACATTTTTTAGGTATGTTAATGTGAAAGTTTTCTTCATTGCTCTTATAAATGAAAATTGCATTTGCTTTTATAACAATGATTCTGTTCTGGCTACAAGTAGAAATTTAAAAGCGTTTCTCTTTTATTTTTTTTCCAGCCACCTAATTTTCTGGATCATATTAATACAAATATATAAATATACACACATAGATATCTTCTATGATAATATTATAAGAAAGAGTCAAGAACAATTTGTTTGTTTTGTGTAAAATGCAGCTTTGGTATTGGTGGAAATTAAGTATTCTGCTGTGGACATACTATATTTGAAATGCCTGTTTGCTATATAAGTAGAGATATGGGTAGGCAGTTGGGCGTACAAGGCTTATTGGAAAGACCAAGGTTGGCCATGTAAATTTAGTAGATATTCAAGGCAAAGGGGACTGGATGAGGCCACCTACAGAAAAATAGAAGTGAGAGAAGGATAAAGCCAAGGAGTGAGCTGCGGGACCCTCCCAGCATTTAAAGGACAGGAAGAGTCAACTATGGCATATGACAAGGAGTAACCAGGAGAGTGTGTGGGAAAACAGGAAATGAGGGCAGAAAATATCTGGGTAAATAGGAAGCTGGCAACTGCCTTGCATGCTGTGCTCCTGGGAGGTCAAGATGAGGGTAGAGAATTAACCGTTGGTTTGTGGGGACACTTTTTGCTTGTTTCGCATCCTTATGGTATAAAAATAAAACTAAATTTTATCAGGTAATACATTAAGCTTTACTTTTTTGTTTTTAAATTGAAAACTACGTTAATTCTTCTCCTTGTTCTTATTTGATTTTCATGGACCAATTTCCCCAAATAGCATGTCGTTGGACAAGTATTCTCATAAAATGGCCAATGTCCTTTGTAGAGGTTGTATGAGGAGAGAAATGTGGCCCAGAGAGCCCGAGACAGTGCAGCTGGGCCGCGGAGCTCCCCGTGGAAGTTTCTGTCGAAGCTGTCCTGGAATGGGGAGTACTAGAGTAGGTTTACAAAAAGGAGTGAACCACCATATCAGCTATGATTAACTGTCATGAGAACCTAGAAATGAGTAAATCAGCATAGTGGCAAAGTTCTCAAGATGATTTAAATAGAGAAAGTAAGCTGATTCACAACTAAAGCTTCCAAGGGTAATAATATATAGTATAGTCTTCGGAAAGTATGAGTACTTTGATATTATACATATATAAAAATCTAAAGTGTGGTTGTTTCAAATATTAGCTTAAAATAACTGATTTTTATTTTCTGCCAACATATAGAATAACTAGCTGTTAAAGTGCTGTTGCACTATTAAAATGGAGTCACACTGTTATATTTTCTACATAGCTTTTGCTCAAGTGTTGCATAAGTATCTGTATTTATGAGTCTTTATCTGTTTTTTTAAAAAATTGATTAGAATGCCAGAAAATGAATCGAATTCATTGTCAAGAAAACTCAGCAAGTTTGGATCCATGAGTTACAAGCACCGGTATAGGTAAATGACGTTTTTTCCCTTGGGAGGAGGGCGTCAATAAATAAATATTTAATTTAGCTGTCCATATACATGCACATTAAAGTTTGAGATTTAATTTTTTTCTTATTTTGCCTCAGTGCCAATGAATTTCATAAGCATAATAGTTCATTAAAAAAAATCTTTTTGACAAAAATGATTTTCTAGGTTTAATTATATTTAATGTCTGCATTCGCTATGCTAACTTAGAACTTTTAGAATGTATTACTTATTATCTTCAGAAATTTATTTTGATGCAGATGTCACTTATTTCTAATCGTGTTCTGATTATGAAACAAAGTAGGTATTTTGAATACTAGCTGATTAGTATTAAGGCATTCAGTTGATTCCCTGTTGTAACACAATGTATACTTTGTTTTATGGATCAAATCATGTTTTCTGTAGTATAAAGCCTACTTGTAGTAATGCTAATGCTAACAAATATAGTTAAACTTTATCAGGTGGTTGCTAAGTGCCATGAATTGTGATAAATGGTTTTCATTTGTTGCTTCATTTAATTATCACAGATCTTAATATTATTCTCATTACTAACTGAGGAAATTAAGGCTCAGAGAGGCCAAGTCACGTGACAAGGTAACCCAGCTAGGAAGCAATAAAGTGGGGTCTAACTCCAATGCTCATGCTTTTAACCATTAGCATGTGGCAGGAAAAGCTTGATAGTTAGGCAACCACGCAAGTGCTTGTATCTTTTGCTTGTATCTTTTCCTAATATCCGCATTAAAAGTCGGAGCCTTCTATGGAGCCTTCTATGTTTTGAAAGAGAATTTGTTTTGTTTCAATTCCTTCTATTAAGTGGAGAGCCTGTGATGTGCAAAGGCATGGTATTGGGTGCCTAGAGATACAAAGACTCCGATCTAACCTCCTCTGCCTTTAGAGTAGAGCTACAATATCATTCAGGCAGTGAGGCAAGTTCCAGACCCTGCATAACCCAAGCGGGGTATAGAAATGCTGCTCAGGAAGTGGAGAATGAGACGCTTACTTAGGAGCTTTAAGAATAAAGCCCAGTCAAGTGTTAGCAGAGCAGTGGTATGCCAGATTTTAATTCTTCTCTTTTATAATACACATTTTTTTTTTGTCTTGAATTGGAAACCAGAGATAATCAGAGAGCGATTAATATTAATGTTCGGCGCTTTAATCTTTACATGTTATTCACTCAGACCTTTGCTCATTTGATGACTTAAAATAAAACTTAAATTTTATTGTATTACAGCTTTTCTTGGTATTTGTATGAAGGTATTCATTGCTAACTAAAATTAAACCTTCAGGTTATCAAGTTTCTTCCCAAGACAGTGATATAATTATCAGAAATTTAAGGAAAATATTTACTTTTATATTGAGAAGAACAGCTAATAGTCACTATTTGAGCTCTTGTCCCATTTAGAGCATAAAACATTTCAAGAGTTACAGTGAGAATATGTAAATCTACTTTTTACTGCAACGAAGCTAGTGAAAAGGCATCTGTCTTAATGTTCCTACTATTAAAATTGTAATTATGCTGTTCAACATATGCTGTAGTTGGTTTCCATAAATTTACTCATACCTGATTTCTCAAATTTATTTAAATGCAAATGTTGTGGCTACCGGGAATTATTATTAGGAAGTTATTGGATTTTGCATATTAAATATAATTTCTTCCAAGAAAGTAATTAAAGGTAACCTTTGAGGAATTGGAAGCTCTGCTAAATCTGTTCTAATTTTGTGGCTGGTGTTAACTGCCTAGTAATTCTTAACAAAACCTAAATCTCCGTGTCTGTATGTAGGAAGCACTGAAGTTACACCGTCCCTGGAAGAAACATGTTTCATCCCACTGCCCAGAGCTAGGCTTCGTTAGGGATGGGTCTCAGAAAGCAGGGTGGTCGCCAGCACATGGACTGTTAATTGTCAAAAGAGGAAACATAACCAGCCTTTAACAAACATTGTATGCCTGCTCTTTTCTTGAGACATTCTGTAGATCTGGAATGAAAGCAGAGCTCTGGAAATGCAGACAGCCTTCTCCTTTACCCTCCAGGCTTTTAGAGTGTGGAGGATGAAGAACAGCATAACACCTGGCTGGGGTGTGTGAATGTGGGTGTGTCTGTATTTGTGTGTTCAGTTGTATATGTGTTTATAGGGGGGTGTGTGGGTGTATGTGACATAGGAAGACAGAGTTCTAGTCTTCACCCTCTCTCCTGTGTCTTTAGGCTTGCACAATACCAAGGAGATTCCAGCATCTTTTAGAAAAACTAGTATTACTTAAGAAGGGAAAAATTAGTGATATGTGAAGGCCATTTCTTTCCAGAATTCCAAATTAAATTTGTGAGGATAGGCTGAGCTGAAATCTGACAATGAAATTCTTTTGTTGTTGTTGTTGTTAGATTCCAGCATCTTTTAGAAAAACTAGTATTACTTAAGAAGGGAAAAATTAGTGATATGTGAAGGCCATTTCTTTCCAGAATTCCAAATTAAATTTGTGAGGATAGGCTGAGCTGAAATCTGACAATGAAATTCTTTTGTTGTTGTTGTTGTTTTATTATTAGAGACCAATAATTTGAAATTAAGATTGATTAACTTTTTGATTAAATATTTTGTCATATACTGATATCTTTCTCCGAGACCTTTAAAAATTAACCTTGCCTTTACCCAATGTTAAATTTGTAGAGGACTCCTGGTTTTGATGAATGAATAAATTGTATAGGTTTTATACTCCAGAAATGAGAATTGGGCCTGAAAAAACCTCCCTGGGAACCCAGATGACCTTCTTGTAGGATTTAAATCACATCAGCTTTCCATATTTCTTAAAGCGTGGAAGGGAGAACAAGTTCTCATGAGAACCTCTTTTGTGTCAGGTGCTTTCACATGTGTTACTTTATTTAATCTGCTCAGAGACCCACCAGAGGAGCTGTCATATCCTCATTTATATGGATGAGAAATTTGAGCCCCCTCAAATAAAGTAACTGAACTAAAGACCTTTAACCAATAAGTGGCAAAACTGGGAATTGAACGCAGGTGTCTCTGGTCTTATTCTCTTCTCTCTACCCCACTGATTGTCTGTTGTCACTTTGGGGCTGAAGAGCTGCTGGAAGTGTCACTCAGCATAGAATGGGTATGTGTGTGCCAGAATGTGGGGAGGAAGGGAAGTGGCAAATCATGAGAATAAGACTGTGCTGTCACTGTGGAGAGCCACCAGGCACTATAAAACTCTCTAGTTATCAAATACTTTATGCTAAAAGGAAACAGTACAAATACTGTACAAGGATATTTCTGCTAGGAAATAATAAGAAAAAGTGGAAATATATTATAAATGGTGAAAATAAGGCAGTAGGAGATCTCAAAAATAATCTGTTGAAAACCATACAATTATAACAGAGCTGTTTTTTAGACCATGCTTGCAACTTCAAACATCTGTGTTCCTTCTCCTGAATAGCCAGGCTGTGCCATACTGACCAGCCAGAGATCCGAAAGCTTGTTCTAGTTCTCCGTCTCATACAGCCAGTGGCAGATTAGTTTGTGTTTCTGGACTATATAGTTTAATAAAATTTGTGATATGATTTTGTCATTCTCCTTTATTCCTGAGAGAGAAACTATGAGGAAAAATTGAATAATAATGTAAAATCTCATTATAAAATGCTTCGGTGGTCCACATAATGGGTTATATTTTTAGGACAAAGATTTTTTTCCTCTATGCAATGAGGTACACAGTACTCAAGTCTTATAACAAGAGAAAGTGTAGTAAGTAGTTCTTATCCTCATACTCCAAACCATTTATAATAATGGAATTTTGCTCTCTATGTAGATTTCTTTTTTCTTCTTTCTTCTTCTTCTTTTTTTTTTTTTTTTTAGCTTTTCAGGAGAGAGATGTTGTTATGAGTGTTTCAAGCATTTAAAAATTTTTCTAATAAAAGTGGTTTGGAGTAGTGAGGAGGGGAAATTTTTGCAGAAGCATGTAAAAGGTAAATTTTGCTTTATAAGTCTCATTTAATCTCTTTTGGGAGAGATTCACCAATTCACCAATTTAGTCTATAAATGTAGGATGCTATTCCTACCTTTGGCACTATTAAAAGCCTTTTTGTCTTCCCATAGATGGTTCCTCTTGAAGTGAATCAAAGCAGATAAACAGAAATGCATTCCTTTTTGTATCTGATTGATATTTTAGGTGAAAGCCAGGGTCATTCATTGGCTCAAATTCAGCAGCTGTGGAATACATTTTCAGTAGGATGAATGTTTCCTGAAATACAGCAAATGAAATTATATAAGTCCTTGAGAAGACAGGCCATTCCCTGAGAAAGCTCACCCTCTTAAATCCTCATAAGCTCTTTAGAGAAGCAGCACTGTACATGGGGTTTTAGGCCTGCTTCAAATCTTCCTGGGCACTTGATCTGGCACAGGTGAGGTGGGCATAATACATGGTTGTGCCATAGCAGGGTTGAGAGTAGATCACACAGTGGTCCTGTAGGGGACGCTTTATGATTTGCTATGTAAGTATAATAGGGGGACATGTTGATTCATGTAGAGTCATTGCCCTTGTGTAATTTAGCTCAACATTATTTCTTTATTATTTAGTTGTAGAGCTAGAAGGCGATCAATATCCTCTACTTATAGCCCAGCATTCTGCTTAAATCTAAACTTTACTCCAATAAACCCCCTTTCTATTTCGTCTCCTGAAAGATAGTTCTTCTACTTAACCTAAATCTTTCCTATTATAATTTAATACTACCTCCTTGGTAACATTGCAATGAAAATCATATGCTTACGGCCTGTGTTAAATCTCTGTGTTTTTTCTCTCCATACTTTGTGGATAATTATGAATGAGCTATTGTTTAATTTTGTGGCTGTATGGTTTTACCTGTTAATCAAAATGTTGCATTTTCAAGTGGCAGGACAGCATTGCAAATGAATCGAGATCTTTCTATTCAACTTCCCCGGCCAGATCAGAATGTGACAAGAAGTCGAAGCAAGACTTATCCTAAGAGAACAGCACAAACACAGCCAGCTGGTAAGTCGTAGACATAAACTTGTGTTTCCTGTTAGACTGATGGTATAGGATATGCTCAAGTGGTGACTACAGCCTAGTAGTTTTTTTTTTTTTTTTTGTTAATACTAGAATTCTTAATTTGACCCCTAAAATGTCTAAGCAGTTAGAATTTATTAATAAGTAAACAAGTAGTCATCTTAAATCACCATAACCTGCTTAATAACTATACTTTCTTTTAGAAGAGATTAAATAAAAATCTCAACTGAGTAATTTCTTCTTTGGGTGTATCAGATTGGAATTGAAACAAACTCTTAGAAAATATATTTCTTTTTTTAAAAAAAAAGGAACACGATAAATTTGTACAGAATTCAGTTGTTTTTTTGTTAATGTTGGTTTTTTATTATAAATTCTTTCTGATGTTTCTACAGTGTACAAATAGAAAAATGTATAAAATGGATATACACATGCACATCACACACACACACACACACACACACACACAATTTAACATAGCCTGAAAGCCAAGAAGTCTGTCCTCTTTGCCTGTTCACATCTTTCCTGTGTCCTTCCTTACCAACCAGAGAAAATCCCATCTGACTTTGTGATCATTATTTCTGTAAACTTTTATTATAATTTTATTATTTATGTAGCCTTCCCTGAACAAACTAATTTTTTGCCTGTTTTTAACATTATATGAACGAATCATGGTATGTGTTCTTGTGTCTTGCTTCTTTCAATGTTATATGTAGTGTATACTAAAGTACATTTATTTTTCTTGCTGTGAGTATTCTATTGTATGACAGTTTCTTTATCCATTCTAATGTTGATGGACATTTAGGTTATTCAGATTTTTTGTTTTTAATGCAGAATACTTCTTTAAGAAAACCACCTAATCACTCAGTTTCAATCTATGTTGAATACTCAGAGCTCACAGAATTTTACTCTAAAGTGATATTACTGACTTTGATTGTGGCTTGCTTATAGCTCACTCTTGTCTGACACTCTCCACAGACTTTTCACATCTATTATCTCACTTGACACTTCCAATAACACTGTGAGGTAGGGCAAAACAGAGAGTATGTTCTCATTTTGCAGATGAGGAAGACATGGTCCCAGCAGCTAAATAGGGGTGCGGCTGGGACAAAAACCCAGATCTCCTGGGTTATTTTTTTTGCTATAGTATTATAGGCAGTGAATGGAATTTTTATTTTATTCATTTGTTTGTTTGTTTGTTTATTATAGTGGCATTGGTTGACAAAATCCAATAAGTTTCAGCTGTACACTTTAACAGTCTATCGTCCATGTCCATGAGTCTCTGTTTGTCTTGTTCATTTGTTGCTTTTAGGTCTATATCCCACACATATGTGATATCATGTGATTTTCAACTTTTTCTGTCTGGCTTATTTCGCTTAGCACGATTATCTTGAGGTCCATCCATGTTGTCACAAATGACAGTATTTCATCTCTTCTTATGGCTGAGTAATATTCCATTGTATATATGTACCACAGCTTCTTTAGCCCATCATCTATCATAGGACACTTCGGTTGCTTCCATGTCCTGGCCACTGTGAATAGTGCTGCTATGAACATTGGTGTGCAAATATCTTTTTGGACATGGGTTTTCAAAGGTCTTTGGAGTAAATACCCAGCAGTGGGATTGCTGGATCATTTGTTAGATCAATTCTTAGTTTTTTGAGGAACCTCCATACTGTTTTCCATAGTAGCTGTACCAATTTGCAGTCCCACCAGCAGTGTATGAGGGTTCCTTTTTCTCTGCATCCTCTCCAACATTTGTCATGTTGATTATAACTGTGAATGGAATTTTTAATAACAATAATTGACATCTGAATATTGCGTGACAACTGACATAACATAATGACCCTCACGTCAAGCCTATGAAGAAAGTGTTTGAGTTTGCTCCACTGCTGCTGGCTGTGAGAATGTCACCTGACCTACTGTTTCTAAAGCCAAATTAAATCTGCTTGTAGGTCCCTTCCTCTCATTGGGCTGGGAGAAAATTAAATTCTTTCCGATGGTTCTACAATGGCAAAAATAAAACATGATTTAATTTTTAATAGATTACTTTGCCACATAAGTACTATCATTATCCCCATTTGGCTGATGGAAACTAAAATTTAAAAAGTAATTTGGCCAAAAATACATAATAAGTAGGTGGTTTAGGACAAAAATTTTAGCCTTAATATTTAATACCTTTATCTTTTGTATTTATTTCTGTATATGAAAAGTCTTAAATTCCACTTGAATCAAGTCCAGTGTGGTATAATCAATAAGCAAACTTTAAAATTCTTTTTTATTTCTGAAACACCATACCTCATAAAATTATTTTGAGACCAACTGAGAATATCAAAAGCATTTGTACTTTTCTACTCATATGCTCCTTGCTTCAAATCAACATTTCATTCCACTTGAGATGCGGGAAGCATCACACATGTTTTTTATACAAACCCACTCAGGTTGCTCCTTTTCTACTCATAACGCTCTTATAAAAATATCTGCCTCTGTAACATTTTTGTGTTTGTGTAGCTCTCTTTGGAAGCCCAAATTCTAGAAGCTGATTAATTTAGAGACAAAGGGTTTTTTGGTTTTGTTTTTCTTATGGCTTATGCAGATCCAGTCAAATGCAGTTTTCACAGAGCAACCTGGGATTGTATTGAGCCCTCACATTTACCGCCTACCCCCTCCTCACCCCCCTTGTGTCATAGAAGAAGTACAAATTAGTAGTTAAAAAATAGTCACAGGGATTTAGAGTGCGGCATAGGGAATATAGTCAATAGTATTGTAATGGCTGTGTATAGAGCCAGATAGGTGACAGAGTAATTGGGGTATCATTTCATAAATTATATAAATGTCTAACCAATGTACTGTATACCTGAAACTAATAAAAATAAATAAATAAATAAATAAATAAATAAAACGCACCACCTCTTTGGTAGGAGTTCAACATCAAGTGGATCTTATAAAAATGCAGCACATGTTACGCTTTTACTATTATAAAAATATGTTTGCTTTAGAAAATTTAGGAAACTTAAAACCTTCCCTCCTAAAATGAAAACATTTTCATATTCAATTCCATTCTCCTAGTACTAACACTATGTACTATATAGTACTATATAGTACTAACACTATATAGCTTTTTAGTTATTTGTATATCTTTTCTGCAAAGATTATATAGTAATGTTTTACAACCTTCTTTTGTATTTTAATAATATATCATGGATATGTTCTAATAAGTTTTTAAATATTTTTATACTGTACCATTTTAAGATCTGTATAATTTTCTCCTGCATAGATATATAGACTTGACGTAATTTATTCAACCAATCTTTAGTTCTTGGATTTTGAAGCCCTTTCAAATTTGGAAGACTATAAATATAACTAAAGTGAATGTCCTTGTAGTGATATCTTTAAGCACTCATGCTAATTTATTACATATATTTTAAACAATGCTGTATTTTCATTTTTTTTAAAAAAAAGAGGATTAAACAATGCTATGGTTTAGAAACTAAGACTTCGCTGTTCACACATTTCACTTTGATTTTAAATTACTTTCAGCCTGACTTTTTAGGCCTGCGTTCCACAAAACTGTGATGTGTTCTGGAGACCCAGAGATGACCCTTTTCTTGACAGTGTGTGATTGTCTGGGCGGGGAAGGATCATTTAGCAGATGTCAATGATGCAGTTTTACAGTTGCTGTCATGTACAGATGAAAGACGTCATGGGTCAGGGATTACTGTTATTCTGTTGTTTTTTTTTAAATGTAACATTTTCTTTTCCCTCTAATTCACATGTACTCTGCTTTGAGCCTCAGTTGAATCCAGCTGGTAAAGACTCAGTTTCAGCCATCTCCCACTCCTAAGGCCATGGTGGAATTCTCACTTGGAGCAGAATATTTGAAGGGGGCACTCTTGTCTTCAACTACATTGGTTACCACTGTGCTCCTAGTCCCAGCCCACCAGGCCACATGAAAGTGGGCAGTTCTGTGTGAAGCTAGGCTGCTTTGTGTGTGTGAGGGCAATTTCTTTTGGTGAGCGTCCTGGGCTTAGGGTTTTCAACTGATGGTTGTTGGTGCCAATTCAATGCCAATAGGAATTCCCAATTTGGAGTGTGGTGGAAAAGGAAGCTATTCAGTGCAGAAATCTCAATTGTGATACAGCACAGCTGTGAGAACAGCATGGCCCTGGAATAGCTCAATAGTGTTACAGCTCATTTATGAAACAGCAAGGCTGCAAGGCAGCCCTGACTCTGCTCTGCCCTGTTTTGCTCTGCTTGCTCTACTCTGCTCTGCTCTGGTGAGATGTCTTTGGTGTTTGAGCTCCAGCCAGGAAAACACAGGCTCTAGTCTTCAGTGGAAAGGAAAAGTGTATTCTCCAAGCCAGAGAGAAGCTGACATATATAGAGAGAAGTCCTTGTCCCGTCCTTGATTAAGCCATACTCATGCAAATGAGGGCTACAAATCCTCACTGTTTGATTGGTTTAAAAAGCAAAGCACTGTTCTGATTGGTCAGAAGGGAGCGCTCTGATTGGTTGATGAAGATGCTAATGGAGATGTAGCTGCACAGCTCCAATTGGATGAGGAAAGCCTCAGTCATATTGGTCGAAATATAATTCCAGGAACTCCTTTTTAAGGGCTGGCTCAGATGGCAGGAACCTAGTGCAAGCAGGCAGCTCGGTGCAGGCTTCACCCTGAAGTGCAGTTTACATGAGAGGCCCCTGTGTAGAAATGGCTGCTAGGCTCTGCTTTTAAAAATTGAGCCCAGTTAGCCACCAGGAGCCCTTCTTTGTAGCTATCTTCTTTCTTAGGGTCCACAACTATTAATTAGAAATAGCTACTATGGTTGCTTTGTGTAACAACCAAGGACCAATATGCAGCTGAGAGGTTATCTCAGCTAAGGTGAGATTGGAAAGGGAATTTAACTTAAGACAAATTAAAACAACGGAACCTATAAAATTGGAGGTCTAGTAAATAAATTATTAGCTATTTATATCAGAATATTATCTAA